AGTTACTCCTGGCGGTGCTTGGGGGGGGTCCTATGAGATGCCAGGGATCAAACCTGGGTCAGCCACTTTCAAGGCAAATGCCCTACCTGCTGTACTACACTGCTCTGGCCCCATTACTTTTATTTTTGAAATTTCAAGGAACATCTTACACATATTTTTCAAAGATACAAACATATGGAAAACCAAACTAACTATTAAAAATGACAATGCTGGGGGCTGGAGCAATAGCACAGCAGGTAGGGCGTTTGCCTTGTACGCGGCCGACCCAGGTTCGATTCCCAGCATCCCATATGGTCCCCTGAGCACCGTCAGAGGTGATTCCTGAGTGCAGAACCAGGAGTAACCCCTGTGCATCACCAGGTGTGACCCAAAAAGAAAAAAAAAAGACAATGCTGATCATTATATCAGCAAAACACAGGATGAACACTTTGAAATTCTGGTGGTATGTGATACAGTCTCTTTAAAAACAATAAGGCAACATAAAGCTGACAGGATATATGTTTAACTGTGAGTGAGCAGCTCTTCCTTAAAGTTAAGAAATAACAAAACACTTGTTTTCTCGATGTTTCAAATTAATAAATAATACTCTGGTTATTCAGTCAGTGAACTGAGACAGTGAGAGTAGAAATAAAAATTAAATACAATTCCTGACTGGGATGTTTTCAACACCTATTATGATATACTTCAAATCAGTAAATCCATGGTTCAAGGGTCAAATCTGGCCCAATGCCTGCTTCTGTGAATAAAGTTTTATTGAATAGTAACCCTTTATTTATTTAGATTGTTGATGGGTGCTTGTGTGCGAATGCTATAATGTTCTAACAATAAATTTAGGTCCTACAAAGTCATGTGTAGTAACTGGCTTTTTATAGACAAAACTTGTAAGGCCTTGAGATAACAGCATATGTAATAAGCCAACTGAAAGCACAATTTTCTTAGGAAGATAGATCAGTCTCAGAAGGAAAAGGCAGGTTTCACAGAGAAGATAGTATCTGAGGACAAGTACAAGCTCACCTAGATAAAGAATTAAGAAATTTACAAAAAGACATAGGATGAAACAATGTTGGATTTTAGGAAAACAGTAAGTTGCCCACTTGGTCTTGAGGCAAAGAATGGCACTCAGCTTAAAGAATGGCAGAAAATACTCTCTGATTTCCCCCTGCCCTATGCTGCCAAGCTCCAGCACTCGGGAAGTAAAAATTACAACTTAATGCTGTACTCTAAGGAAAGGATAATTAGAAAATATAATAAGGCTGGTAAAATAGACTAGGGTTAAACTTGTCAGGAGTTTAAACTTGAAATTCTATTTATTTGGAAGCTTATTTATTTCAATATACCATGGTTGATGAGAAACGAAGTTTTTAAAAATTAAAATAGGTTCAATGTTTCCTTTTCAATATTATTCTAATTTAAATTCTGACATGATTTTCTAAATCAGAGAACAAAGTGTGATTATACTCTTTATTCAAACACATAATTACAATTTATTCCTGAGTATACAAATGGACATTATATTGCTTATCTGAATGCTAAGCAAATCTTTACCTATTAGTGAAAAGGGGTGCAAGGGGCGGGCAAGGCTGAGAAATTCAGATGAACAAGGAAGCTGTTAAGAAAGGAAATGGCATGTGATTCAGTCTGGACTTCACAAAATCTATCTCTAAGGGTGGGAAGGTTAGACAGGCTGAAGTGTGAGAAATCCAGTTGAAAAAGCTCTCAACAAGCTGGCAACAAGAAGGTCACTTCAAAGACAAGTTTTTTAAAATGAGAGCCTGATTTTTTACTGAGAGCCTGAAAGGATGATTAGAGAAATATGAGTTTGTAGATTAGAAGACTGAATAAGAACTGTCAAGGGAATTAGAGCAGAGGAAATGTAGGGAGAGGGGTAGGAGGAAGCAACTGCACCGTTTCCAATTTTGGAAAAGGGATATTTGATGTGTAGGTACATTGACTGGGGATCTTGGTAGAACTGAGTGTATTTTTTTCAGTAGTCAACTGAAAAACGCAGAACTGAATCTTTGAAAAGAGGTCTGTTCAAAAGAGATTTATAAATGGTAGTTGTTGAAATCCAAGAAATCTATGAAAATTCTTCAGAGGGAGGTACACCTGAGAAGGAAATGAAGATAGAAAAAAAAATTCCATTTAATAGGAAGCAGAGTAAGAACAGTCAGGAAGAGATGAATAGAAAAATCATGATGTGATGCTGCAGAAGTCAAGTGCACTTAAGAAAAAAGCATATCACAGGGAAGAGCCAAGCTGTTGAGATGTTCCGGTTACAAGGAAGATAATGTGCTAGGAGATAAAGCCACCAAGTGCTTATCTACAGAATAGAGTGGTCAGGGTCAGGACTGAATCCAGAAGATCCCAGGCTGCAATCCCAGCTTTGCTATTCTGGGCAACCTAAACTTTCTTAACTTCAAGCTATAATACTGTGTACTTCGCTCACAGGATTGTGGAGAGAAATAGAGAAGATAATGAAAAGTACTTAGAACTGTGCCTGGCTCATAGGAAGTAATCGAATATTGGCAGCTATTATTGACATCTTTTAAAACTAGAAAAGAGCACGGCATTGTAAACTATTGCTGAAAGCAACTCTGCTCCTGGACAAACAGGTCAACAAAGGCTAAACATCAAGAAGGATATATGCTCGCATCTTATATAAAACTACTATTGTACACATTAACTTGAACTACTATGTAGAAGTATATGGCAAGATAAAAGTGGAAACTTTCATCCTAAACTTTTGGCCTGTATGTAACTATGCTTTAAGTGTCTTTCTAGATCTACACTTGGAAGAAAAACTACCAGATTAAAAAAAGCAAAACAAAACAAAAATGGCAGGGCCCAGGAAGGCAGTTCAAAGGGCTGGAGCACATAATCTGCAGGTGGAGGTCCAAAGTTCCATGTATCAGACCATCCTCAGCACCACATAACCCCCCTAAAAGGCCCAACCATGAGACTTTAGGCCTGCACAACCAGGCTGGGTATCACCTTGTGTGAGCCTGGGCTCTCTAAGCCCTGCTTGGGAGACCCCTGGCCCCCAACAAAAAAGTGCAACCAAAATGACAGTGAAGTTTAACCTTATTATATAAATAAAAACTCTATCCACCTGTCCCTGCATGTTTACTAGATGAGTCCAAAATATTGTAATTAACATAAAACAAAGTTAATCAGAAAACTTAAGTAAAGGAACTGTCCAAACCTGTGTTTATGGATTAAAGAAAACAAGATCGATATCATCAATGTTTTTAGATGATAGTGTCCACAATCCTACCTCAATAGGCCTTGTTTGCTCAAGGTGTTAATCCCGCTGCCAGAAAAGTACAGATTCTACTGTTATGTTTTTAGGGCACAGGGCACATCTACAGATAATTAACACACACCAATTCACTGATTTCCACCTGCATTTTTTTTTCTTTTTCTTTTTTGGTGACACCCAGGGTTACTCCTGACTCTGCACTTAAGAATCACTCCTGGCAGTGCTCAGGGGACCATATGGGGAGCTGGGGATTGAACCTGGGCCGATAGGGTGCAAGACAAATGCCCTACCCTCCGGATTATCGCTTCAGTCCCACCCCTGCTTCTTTCCTCAGACCACCACGCTCATGTGCCCAGGTAGTGGAATCACCACTGTGAATATTATACTCTAAGGAAACGATATTTTGGTTCATCATCCAAGAACATGACAAAACAAAAATCCCACAGACATGGCCCAAAGTCGAACAGAAATGATTTATATGTACCGAATGAGTCAGGCCTCATTTTTGCAGTTAGAATTTGACACCTCACAACACCACTACTCACATCAATCAATAAAGCCAAAGATCTTCTGGAGTCCTTAGGGAAGGCTACTGAAGAGGAATAATGTAAGCAGAGGATCCAAACACACAAACTGGATGGGATGAGTGGCTGAAAGGATAAACCAGCTGTCATCAGCCCCTCTAACAGCACATAAGTCTGGGAAATCAAAAATGGAAGCAAGGTACAAAATCTTGACGGTTTGACTTCCATTTGAGGGACTCAGGGCGTGCTTGGTGGCTCTGTAGCTGAGGTGATACACTCACTGGGGGAGGCCAGATCGCCACCACCAAAAGATCACGTTATAAATCATATGCCTTCAGTTTGCTTATGCTGAATACCTTATTGCCTGAAAATGTTGGTTACACAGGACAGACCCTGCAAAAATTAGCAATTTCAACCTGTACACTACAACACACACACACACACACACACACACACACACACACCACTCTTTATTCTTGGAGCTCGGTTAGCATTTTCAATTCTTAGGGTGAATTCTGGGAAAAAATATTTTTTAACAACAAAGAAACTCAAAGTAATTTGTTCCCCTTTTTTCCTAACACCCTACGGAATAACCAAATAACCATAACAATTATTCCATTTTTTTTTTTTAAAGAAAAACACCAACAAAAACCTAAGCCTATACCACTTTTTATCCAGAACAGTGAGGCCGAGAAGGACAGATCTCCCTAGAGCTTGTGGAGCAGCACTGGACGGCTAGCATTCCTCTAGAAATTAAGAAAACCCAATCCACCCAGGCCCCTACAAAACCGGGTCGGAAAAAATTAAGATTCTTCCCAGACTCGCCCCCAACCCCCGCAAGTGACCAGCCCCGAGCCACCAAGTGGCCCTCGGCAAGGCGGCCAGTTAGCAAGTCTTCCTCGGTCGCAACGAGCTGCAGCCTAGACCCTCCCCTCAGCCCCCTCCCACAGACCCCCACCCAGTCCGAAGACGCCCCTCGGACGCCCCCAATTTCTGCAGCCGCATCGGCCCGGGCGGCTCCGGGGAGTCCACTCTAGGCCCCACCATCACCTCAGGGTGAAGCCCCCGCGCCCCCGAGGCTCCATCATCACCTCGGGGTAAAGCCCTGCTACCCCGACGGGGCTCGGGATCGGGGTCGCCCCGGGGCCCGCTCCCGCCCGCACCTCCCCCGGCCGGCTCGGGGCTCAGGGCCCGGGGTCCGGGGCGCGCGGCCTTACCCGCCGCCGCCGCGCTGCAGCCGCCCCGTTTCCCTGCGGAGGAGCCCGAAGCACTGCGTCCAGCAGCAGTTCCCCATCGCGCGCCGCGCCGGCGCCGCCGCTCTCCTCCTCCTCCTCCTCCTCCTCCAGCATCCGCGCGGCCCGGGCCCAGGCGGGGGTCTCTCGGCGGCGACGGGGGACGGGCACCCAGGAACAAAGGCGGCGGTTACTCCCGCGGCCGCCCGGGGGCCGCCGCGCGTGGGAGGAGCGCCGGGCGGTGAGCGCTGGACCCCCCGGGCCTCCTCATGGCCCCTCGCTGGCCTCCGTGTCGCTCCAGCCCGGCGCGAGTGACCGCCTCCTCCTTGCTGCCGCCCCGGGAAAGCCCGTCCCCGCGCGGCGCGCACGCGCCCGGGCCCCGCCCCCCCCGAGACGCGGCCACACCCCCGAGCCTCTACGGCTTTCCTTATTGGCGTGCTCCCCGACGGCCCCGCCTCTTTGGCCGCGAGTGCTGTCGTCACTTCCGTCCGCAGCCTCTTTCTCGGAGCCAACCGGCGTTCTGGGCGTGGATGTTTGCTGGTTTGTGTTGTGGGTTGTTTTTTTTTTTTTTGTCCCGTCACCCTCTGGACTGTCATCCTGACTGGAAAATCGACTCACCTGGCAGTTTCTGGGTCCCGAGCGCTTCCGGGTTGCCGCGCGCTCGCGGCCTCGACCTTTGCGCCCGGGGCCCGAACCTTGAGAGCGGCCCCGGGACTCCAGGTGTGGAGGCGCCGCTTTTCGTCGCGCCGTGAGCAGCGGCGTTGCGAGGCGGACCCCTTGAGCGGCCGTGGCGTCGGGGTCTCGCAGGTGTCCTGAATCCCCCCCCCCCCCCCCCCCCGACCACCACCACCAGATCCGGGCCGGGCCTCGCGAGCGTCCTGGTTGGGTTCTGTGAGGAATCCGATGTCCGATTGGGAGGGACGGCGCCTGAGGAGAGGCCGAAAGAGGGGCTGGGCGTCGTCTCGGGGGACACCAGCCTGGTCACTTCAGTCTGGAGGCGGGGATGGCCGGCTGGGTGTGGGCGTCCCCTCAGAACCGGGGTCTCGCCTGTGAGGACCGTCCAGTGGGCCGGACCCGGGAAGGAAACCCGCAGCCTCCGGGCGCCATCCATCGCAGTCGAGCAGTATGGTTTCATTTTGGAACCTGGCTATACCAATGAATGTTTCCACGTTAATCGAAGTAGTTTTGCTTCATCATCATCATCATCATCATCTAATTTGACTTTGGGTTTGGGTCTTGGTGCTGCTCCTTGACCAGTTCTTACCTTGTTTGCACCAAGGCTGTGGGATAGGGGTTCCCTCTGCCTTCCACTCTCTGCACGATGGGAACGATGGGTTTTGTTAATCACCCCACCCTAACCCTATGGTGGGTTTTGTTAATATTCACCCCACCCTAATCCTGTTCCCGGCCTTTCAACCCCAGAAATCAGGGACTGGAGCGATAGTGCAGCGGGTCAGGCGCTTGCCTTGCACCTGTTCCAGGAATCAGACAAATTGATCTGATTTGAAAAATTCTTTTTTCCCCTCTAAATTTCATTATATTAAAGCACCGTGAATTATGGAGTTAGGGTTTTTTAGGTTTTTTGACGTACAATGTTCCATCACCAATCTTGCCACCGGTGTCAACTCTCCTCCATCAGTGTTCCAGATTTCCTCTCCTACTGCCTTCCAACACAACCCCTTCTTGACAGGCACCTTTTAAATTTGATTATTAAGGTTTGAATCTCCTGATTTCAGTGTTGTTGACTCTGTGATTTGGATATTTAGCTCTATTACTCCTTAAGCCAGGGCTGGAGCGATAGCACAACGGGTAGGGCGTCTGCCTTGCACGCAGCCAACATGGCCGACCCGAGTTCGATTCCTCCGCCCCTCTTGGAGAGCCCGACAAGCTACCAAGAGTATCTCGCCCGAGCCAGAGCCTGGCAAGCTCCCCGTATCCGATATGCCAGACACAGTAACAACAAAGTCTCCAATGGGAACGTTACTGGGCCCGCTCGAGCAAATCGATGATCAACGGGAGGGCCTTTATTTACTTTTACTTACTCCTTAAGCCACTAATATACATAGGTCCCTTGATCCAGGTATCTCCGGTACTTCTCATATATTTCTTCTTCTCTCTCTTTGTAGCTTTAAAAATTCTTCAGGGGCCAAGGGCTTATCTCAGAGGTAGAGAATACTTGTTTCACTTTGTATGAGACCTTGGGCCCCTCCCCAGACTTCCTTCCTCCCAAAAAAATTCAATTGTAAAATTTTATAGAAACTGCTACATCCATCTTATGCAATACTGTGCTTCACAACAGAAAGGAAAACCTATCAATACCCTCACTTTAATCTGCAGGAAATTATGCAGAATGAAAAAAGCAATCTTCAATCATACAGATAGCTTGATTTTATTTATACAACATTCTAGAAATGACAAAATGAGAGAAAACTAGAACAGATAAGACAGTAGTGGAACACAGAACTTGGCTGGATCAATATCATTATTTCATTAGCAATGTTGCACTCCACTTTTGCAGGAAAATGCCGTTGAGGAAAACCGGGCAATGAACATGTGATTTTTCAAAATTTTTTACAACCTCTTTCATATTGGTGACAAGTGCCTCAAAATAAAAAAAATTAAGTTTAAAGATGCATTTTTGCAAACCATTATTAGAATTTTGTTAGGTCTCAAAGATATGAATGACCTTAAGGACCAGTACAAATGATTTAGACATTAAAAATTTGATTTCACTAATCAAAATAACCTGAATTAAAGCATGATGAGATGTCATTGTCATGTGTCAGGTAGATAAAAATTTGCCTGAGCAGTTAAGTGTGTCTTCAAATGCACAATAATATTATAGTCACCTAAACTACTCGATATGATGAAAATCATTTTGATAAGTCACTTGGAAATATTAAAGATAAAAATGTCAAGGAGAAATATTAGAATGGATCATTTATGTATAGATACACATAGATCATATACAGATATGGCCACTTAATGCCAGCTTGCCACAGAAACCTCATGTCCCCAACTTTCAGCTAGCAGGGCTGTTTTTCTGACAGTTTTCAGTTTCTTTGACTTCTGGCTCATTTTGAAGACATAGTTTTTCTCACGGATGCTGCAAAATCAATCAGGATACTATTTGTACTTTCAAGAATCTTCCTGATTTTGTGGTTCTAAATTGTTTGCTCAGAACTTCTGTATTGGCTATTAATCACTTTTTGTTGTTTTGAAATCCGTTGCAATGATTATGCTTTGAGGATTAAGGGCACCTGCAAGGGGGAGAATTCCTGCCTTTATTTACTGCACTGGCCCAAACAAGGGTCCAAATTCAATCCTTCATCAACACATAATTTGGATTACCAGAATTAACAAAGATTGCTAGATACGTAAAATAGAGATAATGTAAAATAGTCTCCTTATAATATGTTATCTCTGTAAAACAGATATAATGAGATAAGAAGTATTTCTAATATCATTTACCTTATGGGTTTGCTACCAGGATTAATAATTTAGTACTTACGCCTTCATCTGTCCTGTGATCTGCCTCTTTCCAAGATGATTGAAACGAAAATAACTATGATTTAAGGGAACACTGACTGTGAAAGTCTGTATTCCACTGCCACTTGACCAGAACAATCAATTGAGAGACAGGGTGACAGGAAGTGCTTTATTAAGCAACAAGCGAGCAGGTTGGAAGATGGCAGACTGACATCCTATAGAAGCATTTTTGCATTATCAAAAGCAGAAGCTCATGGAGGGAAAGAATAGGGAAGTCTGTTGGTGGCTCTCAGCAGGCAGATGGGCAACAGAGTGGTTCACAAAGTCTGTTGTGGCCTAGTCCTCTGATGCAGCTCCAATGTATCTGTTGAAAATGTAGAGAAAAGTTTCTCATTATGAGTTCTGCCTTCATGCTGTCTTACTGGATATAGATTTTTGGGGCAGAGCAAGATATAAAGGACACAGGAACATACTTTACATTCTCATCAGCCAAAGCAGGAGAGTAGTCTGCTGGTTTTACTTCCTTTTACATCATTAGGATTTCACTATCAAGTAGAAATTTTGATTCTGGGAATCTGTCAGCTAGAAGTGTTGATACTGGGACCCAAAATAGAACAATCTCATCTTAACACAATAATGTTGTTATAGTTCCTAAAGTCTTATTTACTCTTAAGTAAATTGTGTATGAAAGATTAATAACTCAAGTTTAACTTGACCCAGGATTGCCTGGTTTTTTTGTACATCTTTACCTCAATTAGGAAGTGAAAATATGTATGTACTGAGTTGAGTTTCAGTCCTTAGTGCTCAACAGTGGCTTAAACAAGAGCATATTTCCACAAAATTAGTTACCACTTTGCAGGCATATCATGACAACTTCATACCTAAAAAATACATATTTTTCCAAAAGCCTATGTGAACCAACTCTGCCTATAATTAAATCATTATATAGATAGTTTAGCTCTTTAAAAAAACATGCTCTCAGGTGTCTTATTTCTGCCAAGGTCCTTCATTTTGTATTTTCATAACTAAATAGCTAAATGGACTGTGTAAGTGATTTTCATCAAGAACAAAGGAATGCAAAGATGTATTTAAAAGTAGAGAGGGAAAATAGAAAGGACAGTTATTTACCTCCAGTTAATCTTGTTTAATCACCACTGGTTTAATCTCCAGTGCCCTATTTCTTTTGCCTTTTGGGTGTATGATGAGCTTCATTAATTGTTCAGTATCACTGAGTACAGTGGACACTTAGCTTTCTTATTTGCACACCCAACATTTATATTTCACAGACAGATGGATTAATAAGAATAAGTGGGGCCAGGGTGTGGCGCAATGATAGAGCATTTTGCTTTGCTTGTATGAGGATCCTTGTTTAGCAAAATAAATGCATAAAAAAGCAGTATGTAATTAATATATGTAGGTCTTCCACTTGGCCAAGTTTGTGCTAGCTCTCTGTTGACTGCTCAGAAATAGAACTAGTAACTTGGGAGGGAAATTTTAATACAGAATCAGTAAATGGTATTTCAAGGTGTAACAGCAGAGAGAAGCCACCAACTCTGGGACTGAGGGACAATGCTTTTATTTAACATCAACAACAAAATGAATTATTTGAAAACAAGTATCAATTGGACAGTACATTTATGATGAGAGCCTCAAGTTTAACTGGACCCGTGATTGCCTGGTAGTACCTCAGTGTGCTTACCTGAATACGGCTAACAGTCCCTAAATAATTTCCCCACTGTTTCAGCAGCAGAATCCTCTGTGGGAGATGCAATGCATGTTAGCATGTAAAGTTTACAGACTTACACTTCCGTCGCCATCCAACTTCTTTTAA